ACCGAGACGGGTCGCGAGCCCACGGGCCGGGCCGGGTGGGCGCGAGAGGATGGACAGAGGATGCAGACAGTCCTGCCCAAGGCACCCGGGAGCCTCCCTGGCGCCGCCGCCCGGTCCTCCGAGGCGGCGGCGGCGCCATCTTGAGCTCAAGACCCCTGCGATGCCTGGGCTGTCCGCGGCGCGCCTGACGGGGAAAAGCCCCCTCAGGGACCGGCTACGGCTCATTTACATTTAATTTGCGTTTTATTAAGATGTTGCTTTACAGCGCCCTCTGCTGGACGAGTCTTGTACCTGTGCCCGGCTACCCCAACGCCTGAGTTACCCCATTTACGATCTAAATAAAACTCACCTTTACACTGCTCTACAGTTGTCTCGCAATAACTACTTAATTTCTCCCACCCGGACTCGTGACAGCAGCCTTAAGCCCCAGATCCACAAGAGAAGTCCTGTTCTCATTCACTCATTTGTCCCTCAAATACTCAGCGCCTACCCTATGCCAGGCCCTGCACTGGATGCTAAGCTGAACAGTATTTTGTTTACTCGTTCATCAGATGACTGACGTTTGGGTTGTTTCCGCCTTTGCCTGCTGTGAACATGCATGCAGGTATATATGGCTGAGCAGCAGTTGGTTTCTGTACTAGTTTTTAAAATGACGTAAATGTGTTCGCTGCCCATGTTTAGAACTTGGGGAGATGTCACATAAAAACCCGAGCGCGCTCTCTCTGCTGCATTGACCACGGGGATGAAAGCTATTCTCAGCAGACTGTCGACATTCCAGAAAATCACTCTGGACGCACAGTTATCGCAAAGGGCCAGCCCTACAGGCACCCTGTTTAGGGACTGCAAGTCACATCAACATAGAACTCGGTGTCCTTGGAAAGAAAAGAAGAGGCTCTGGGTTGACAAATGGGGAAATAAGAAAGGCTACTGCTTGCTGTCTGTAGTCGTGCACAGAACATACTCAAGGTGTTACACTGGCTTCCATTACATTCCTTGTAAGGTCACCATTACAAGGCGACATCAGTGTACACTCACCTCCCCATCAACATCGTTATTCAGGAGAATGGTTCTCTTGTTAAAATTCAAAATTTCTTGGGTGAAAAATACATCCGCAGGGTTCGGATGAGGTCAGGTGTTGCTTGTTCAGTATCTCAAGCCCAGAAAGATGAGTTAATTCTTGAAGGAAATGACACTGAACTTGTATTCAGCTGCTTTGATTCAATAAGCCGCCAACAGTTAAAAACAAGGATATCAGAAAAATTTTGCATGGTATCTATGTTTCTGAAAAAGGAACAGTCCAGCAGGCTGACGAAGATCTAAGTTGTTGAGCTATAGAAATGCCGAGATGTTGACTGATTCCTCAAGCTCATTTGTGTTAAAGATACATTTAAAAGTTGTGTGTTAAAAAAATAAAAATTCAGGGAGGTGGGAACCCTGGATGGCTATGAGCAGAGGGGTGGGGCCTGACTTCGGTGCTCACGCGCCCTCTCCTGGCTGCTTCCGGGAGGACAGACTATGGGGGTCCAGGAGAGCAATGATGGGGGCTGGACCTGGGTGGAGGCAGAGGAAGGGGGAGAAGTGGGCAGATTCTGAATATATTTGAAAGGTACAGCTTTAGGGAGATTTCAAGATAGACTGGGTGTGGTGGTGAGACAAAGAGTCAAGGTCAAGGGTGACCCCAAGGATTCCGATCTGCTCACATAGAGCAGCCAATGACTGGAAAGGCGATAGTGAAGGGCAGCCCGGGAGCAGAGCGGGGGGCCTGGGAATCTCTGGGTCTGGAGCTGAAGGCGAGTTCCGGCTGGCGATGGACCAGGGGCATCGTCGTCGGCAAGCTAGGGGACCTGAGTGTGCCAGGAGCATAGCGAGGGGGTCAGGGGTCCCCGAGGCTGCATGGCAGTGGAGCATCCAGGAGGCATGGGGTGACATCTTTTGAGCTGTTTCCAGGGCACGTAGGAGAGTGTCCAGGAGAGACTGAGGGGAGCGCCTGCGCGAGTGGACCCCTGCATTCCAGGACTCTGCTGCAAAGGAGCAGACGCCACAGGGGTCCACGGAGAGATGTCTGCCAGCTTTCAAGGCAAAATCCAATAGATAAAGAAAATGAGTGAAGCAGGAGCGAAGGAGATGCAAGAGGGAGGCCGACCGAATAAAGACCCAGACTCAGGTCGTGGTCGACCTTGGCGGATGCAAGGGCAGGACCCTGGGAAGGGTTGGGTGGGAGACCGCGGTGCAATACCGGGAGCGGTCACCAGATGGCGAGGCCGCCGGCTTCCAGAAGGCGGGAAGTAGAGAAGCGCCCCGGGGAGGTCTGCACTCCCCCCACCGCAGCCACACCAGCCTTCGGGACCCT